TGTCGTGGTTTAACCCACAGCCAGACAGCTTGTTACCCACTCCCCCCCCTTCTTGCCCTCCCCCTACTCCTGGGGGAACGGAGAATCAAAAAGAAATGCAACTCCCACGGCTTGAGATAAGAACAGTTTAGTAACTAAGGTACAATACGAATCACCACTGCTACCACCAACGACAACAATGAGAAGAGAAAACAGCAAAGGAAAGGAGTACAATACCACGCGCCGAACCGCCAGTCCGCCCCGGCCGACCCCCTCTCCTTCCGGGTTCCCCCCCAGTTCCCCCCTCGGCATGACTATGATGTATCCGACCCAGGCCAGGACACACTTACAGTTGCAGACACTGAAAACCTCCTGAAGGCTCCCACCATCGTGGGAAGAGCAGCACTGAACCCCATCCTGTTCCGAGGAGTTGGGATGGTGGCTGATCCTGACAACCCGCTGGTGCTGGATATCCTGACCGGCTCTTCCACCTCTTACTCCTTCTTCCCAGATAAACCCATTACTCAGTACCCACATGCAGTGGGGAAGAACACGCTTCTGATCGCTGGACTCCAGGCTCGGAACAACGCCCGTGTGGTTTTCAGTGGATCCTTGGATTTCTTTAGTGATGCCTTCTTCAATTCTGCTGTGCAGAAAGCTACTCCTGGCTCCAAGAGGTACTCACAGACGGGTAATTACGAGCTGGCCATTGCCCTGTCCCGCTGGGTGTTCAAGGAAGAGGGAGTGCTGCGTGTCGGAGCCGTGTCCCACCACCGTGTGGGGGAACTCACACCTCCCAGTGCCTACACTGTCACCGACCTCGTGGAGTACAGCATTGTCATCGAGAAGCTTTCTGATGGCAAGTGGGTCCCCTTTGATGGCGATGACATTCAGCTGGAGTTTGTGCGCATCGATCCCTTCGTGCGGACCTTCCTGAAGAGGAATGGTGGCAAATACAGCGTGCGCTTCAAGCTGCCGGATGTCTATGGCGTGTTTCAGTTCAAAGTGGATTATAACCGCCTGGGTTACACCCACCTCTACTCCTCCACCCAGGTGTCCGTGCGTCCCCTCCAGCACACGCAGTATGAACGGTTCATCCCCTCAGCATACCCGTACTATGCCGGTGCCTTCTCCATGATGGTCGGTCTCTTCATGTTCAGCATCGTCTTCCTGCACATGAAGGAGAAGGAGAAATCTGACTGAGCTCCCCATGGAGGGAGAGGAGCCTCTTCCCTGGCACTGGGCTGCACTCAGGCCCTTCGGTTGTATCCGTGTGAGGACCTGACCTTTCTGGAAGGGGGAACAAGCACCTGCCTTGCAGGGCTTTGCTGTCTCATGCCATGGGTGTATCTCATCCAGTACCCAGTCCTTCTGCTAATCCCAGCCTTCCCAGAAAGCAGGTTCTCTGTTATGAGGATTTGTAACAAGCATGAGCATAAACCAGATTTCCTTAGGAGAGAGGAATACCAGGAACTGGGCTGGCTCCTACCCCAGCTCCCTGCAGCCCTTACAAGTGCCCCATGTTGGGCGCCAAAAAGAACTGTCGTGGTTTAACCCACAGCCAGACAGCTTGTTACCCACTCCCCCCCCTTCTTGCCCTCCCCCTACTCCTGGGGGAACGGAGAGGAGAATCAAAAAGAAATGCAACTCCCACGGCTTGAGATAAGAACAGTTTAGTAACTAAGGTACAATACGAATCACCACTGCTACCACCAACGACAACAATGAGAAGAGAAAACAGCAAAGGAAAGGAGTACAATACCACGCGCCGAACCACCAGTCCGCCCCGGCCGACCCCCTCTCCTTCCGGGTTCCCCCCCAGTTCCCCCCTCGGCATGACGTGCTGTGGTATGGAATACCTCTTTGGTCAGTTTGGGTCAGGTGTCCTGTCTCTGCTTCCTCCCGGCCTCCCCTCCTCCCTGGCAGAGCATGAGACTCACAAAGTCCTTGGCCAAACCAAAACATCATTTTTATCAGCTTTGTTCCGAGCCCGAAAGTCAAAACACAGCACTGCACCAGCTACCGAGAAAGAGAAAAAACGACTGCTGCTGCTAAACCCAGGACACCA